TCACTATTATATAGGCATTGAGCAGCATACATATATCTACCACTTTTAATCATAGAATGTTATATGAATGGGAAATTAATACGAGTTTTATTTAAAAAAAAGAGCAATGAATGTATGCCAGTCTATGGGTACCCCCTATATGCATCTATTATACTTTTGTCAAATCCCAATATAAATCACTTTAATTTCAATTTTTTCTAATAAAAATATCATATTTTTTTTATTAAAGTTCAAAATCATAGTAATAAAGAGAAATTTTGTTCTCATATAATAATATCGAGAGAATTTTTTTTTTGTTTTTTGCTAATCATTACCCCCTTTTTTAATTTTCAATAAAAATCTCTTATATTTTATGATTCTTATTATTATATGAAAATTTTATTTTTCAATGCCACATTGTGTATCTAGAACCCAAGTATTAATACCAATATAATAAAATTATTTCAATTTTCTAAGCAACAATAAATTTGTACTTATAGTGGCAGCGGCGATAATAACAGCAGTAGCAAGTATTATAGCAGCAATAATAAAAAAAAGCATTTATATAACTACAATAGCTACACAAACGCCTACAATTATTTATTAAATTGGATGAAATGACAAAAAGAAAAAGAAATCAAAAATAATAATAAAGGAATTTTTCTAAATAAAGATTAAATTTCTTTATTATTCTCTGCATTTTTTTAAGTTTAAGGGCACACATTATTAGGGCAACGAAAGTCAGCGGCACTAAATGATGAGGATTTATTTGAAAATTATTATCCAATAAATTTTTTTTTTTCTAAAAAAAAAATTAAAAAAAAAAACAACTAATATAAAAAAATTTATTTATAATAAAGATTAAATTTCTCTTGAAATTTAGAATATTTACCAATGAAATATTAAAGAATTTAAAGCGTAACACAAATTGTTAAAGAAATTTTTAATAATAATTTTAACAACTGCCACACACAAATAAATTTTTGAACAAAATATTAATAACTACATAAAATACCTAGCTAGAGCTAATTTAAAAAACATTTGAGCTTATTATAAAAAATTGCATACTTTTAGGCGCGATACAAAATTATATTTAAAAAAAATTAGAATTAACATAGGATAAAATGTGGCAAAAAAAAAGACCTCCTTAGGAAAATACGACGTCGGGCGAACTCCTGCCGATATCTCAGTCTAGCTGGGAATGCCATTCAAGACAATGTGTCTATAGATAGACAAGAAGCAAACACTTTTTCGTAATATCTGCGAGGGTGCGGCCCTGGACGAGGCCAAACTAGTCAAGTGGGGAAGAACAAACTAAAAACGCGAATGAGACCGAAGGAGGTATCGAACAATGATTTTGGGAATTTAGACAGTGTTTTTTAAAGGACTAAATAGCTTAGAAAGGTTACTTGTAATCGTACGGTTGTCAATATACCGTGGCAGCAAAACGACGTGTTTGTAGTAATTTAGCGTGTGGTAGGCCTGTGGCATCGGCCCAATCATTAAGTCTTCATATTAAAATTTCGTTTGATTATAAAAAAATTCAATGACCGAACAAACATTTTTAGTAAAAATCGATTTTACAAAAAAATTTTTCAAAGTAAAAGAGTAAAATACCTACCATAAAGTTAATGTTTACACTGCATTTCTAGTTAACCATATGCACAATACATATAAATCTGTATTATGCTTTTATAGAACATTTTTTTTAACAAAATACCTTAAACTACAATACAAAATGCATTAACCTAAAACAGTATGTTACGCTTGATTAAATGATGCATAACGAAACTTAATACTTTTTTTTCTTTTTTGAAAAATCCTTTATTTTTTTTTTGTTCTCTTCTCTTGTATACGATGCAATTTGCTTACTCACTTACGTTTATGCTCCAAAGATCTCCCCAATCTTCTCTACTCTGCGGTATATATATATGTATATATATAATAAACCAATAAATGTAAACATTTTGCTGTTGTTGAAAAGAGTTTTAATACGGATATGAGAAAGCAGTCAACACAAAACAAATTTAAATTTATTCGATAACTAATAATAATGAAGTTATTATACTTAAGCAGTCAGTCAATTCAATGTATATACACAAACACTGTTAAAGAAAGAAAAGAGAAACGTTTATTGTCGCTTCTGTACAATATTTAATAGATATATATATATGTATGTATATGTGGATGTATATTTAGTTAATGTAAGCGGTTTGTATTTTAATTTTCTTTAAGTTTTTTTTTTTCATAATTTTTCATTTTGTGTTTATTAGTTTATTGCGTACCACTAATCGCTATGTTATGCTATAAATTAGATGCATGTTAGGAATTTCTTATTTTCTCTTCCTATTCTTCTATAGTACTCGTACATACACACATGTATGTATATAAAATCTACATTATAATAATGCAATCGATTTGGTTGGTTTCGCGTTTGAGAAAAAAATTTTTTTTTTTAAAGAGATTGATGCAATTCTTTATTCAAATATATTATTAAGAAATTAAATAAATACAAAAAGAAAAAACAAAAAAAAAAATTAGTACTTTTTCTAATTTTGTTTTTTTTTTTTTCTGTCTAGAAGAATAAGAGAAATGTTTATGTATATACGAGAGAACAGCTGTTATATTATGTGTGGCACTATTAATATACACTTCATATCAATTGATTAAAAACAGTTTCCTTTTATAATTTTAATCTACAACAAAAAATACATATGGTCAAGCGTACTTGCTTCCTTCAAAGGAAGGGCAAGAGTAATTTAAGAAAAATTACCAGTAGCAAGCATATAAATTACTTCAAATCATACATTACTTGCAACAACAGGGCTGTTCTATTCAGACTGAATCAGTATAAAGGTCGTCATCTTGTAAGAGTTTCCGCACTTCCAATCATATAATTGTTCTTCTATTTAGTCAGTTGGTCTTCTATTTAGTCAGTCAAATTCATTCACTCTAAAAAGAAGTTTGATATTCTAGTTTACGAGTAAAAAGTAATTAAAATTATATTAAGATATTTTAAACCATTCCACAGTTATGTCGACATAATGATGGCTCCATTCTCAAAAAAAATATTTGTTAACAAGATTATTGCAAGTTTGATTAGGAAGTAACTCTAAATCAACACAACTTTTTAATTATCAGCATTTAAAACAACTTACAACACGATAGCAAAGTCAATAGTTACAACATGAAAATTTGGTGTTAGGTACGTTCATTTAAAAAAATGACATATTTTAAGTGGCAATCATTAAAAATATCGGATTGGATTACTTTTTGTACTAATTTAAGGGAGTATTTCGGTTTTCGATACTAAGGTACTACACCTCGATTGAAATACTTTCTTGTAGAAAAAACATCCAGCACAATAATTAAGTTCATAAATAAATTCATATTTATTAATAAATCGCTACGTTTCTCCCCAATTACAAACAAAATTTTAGAAGGCCGTGAGCCAAACAAATTAAATTATGAAATTATATTCACCTTTTGTTCTTCTAACCAATTGAACACAAAACTCTTGCATTACAACAATATTCCTTGCAGTCACCTAAAATAAAATGCTCCTATTTAAATAATCTTAAATTTTTCTCAATTTAATTATCAGATTTCAAGAAAAAAAAAAGAAGAAATTTTGTTCACATGTTGTTTTTGTTTTAATAATATCCTCAACATTCCAAACATTGTCATCATAGTCATTATGATAATCATCACTTTTATATCAATATCATTACAATAACAAAACAACATCATTATCAACATCACTATTGTAATAATAATGTTACTCATAAATAAATTTATCACCATTGTGAGGCCAAGCAACAAATAAAAGGACAACAAAAAAAAATTACAAAAAAAAAAAAACAATAAACAAAAACATGAAAATATAAAAAATGTTTTTGTATCGCAACAATATCAACCAACAAAAAAAAAGCAGCAACCAACACACCATATGGTAATAAATCTAAAAATATAATTTGTGTATAACAATATTTAAACATATTAATAAAAATGTATAATAAATATGTGTGGATGTATGTTAATGCATAAAATATTGTAAGTTTGTTTGCATACTTGTAAATTATATTTTTTTTCACAATTACATACATACACACGTTAATTATATTTTAAATTTTGTTGTTTAAATATTGTTGCTAGTTGCTACCAAAATACCGCCATCATCATTTACAAACAATTTAATATTAATATAAATAAAAATGTAAATATGTAAATGTATATTATTAATATATGCAAGATGAGGCAAAAATCTGGCGAAAAAAATTAAAAATTTTAAAAAAAAATAAGAAAAAAATTATTCAATATCACTTTTTGCAAATACCTACTTATACACAAATTGCTAACATAAATGTGCATACCTTTGTACTAATATATGTGTATACATATATTCAACAAACTGTCATGTACATTGGAGCACAATATATTCAACAAACTGTCATGAGCACAATAATAATAATAACAGTAAAAAAATACAAAATACTCAATATAAAAATATTGAGCATGAGCATTAGCAATAAAAATTTTAAACAGACGGAAAGCAACAATAATCAAAAAACACAAAAATCAAAAAAAAAAAAAAATACCCAGCAACAAATAAAAATAAAAATCAACATCATCACAAACTTCTCAGTCAGACAAACTGGGATCATTAATTCCCCAAAGATCAACTGATATTCAGTTGAAATTTAGCCTTTGAATATGAAGAATGGTATAAGAAAATATTAAACGAAAAAAAAACCTAAAAAAAAAAATTAAAAATGTGAAAATAATTTTTAAAAATTTTGCAATTATTTTATTTAAGAAAAAATATTCAAAACGGTAAAAAAAAGAATAAAAAATACAAAATAATATTTATGAATAAAAATGAAAAGATTTCGCGCTATAATCGCGACATACTCGTATAATACCCTTTAGAATATTAAAATATGTAAATATATAAAATAAAATAAAAATAAAAATAATTTAAATATTATTTATTGTATAAAATAATAAAAATATTAATAAAGAGCACAAGAGAGAGAATTTAAAAGAGACAGATAAAAACGCTATGATTAAGTGAAGGCAGCGCCCACTTAATTAAAATAGTTTCGATCGAGTGATTATTGTACTTACATACATTGTATATAAAAATTATAAATGAATATGTATATAAGGGGTGTACATGAAAATTAAATATAAAACATCGGTTTGAAACGTTAAACGCAAAAAATACCGCAAAAACAAAACGGAAAAAAATATCAAAAAAAAAACAAATAATAAGAGACGTCGTCGCGGTCGGTTTGTTTAGATGCGCGCTGTTATTTTTATGTTTTCTGTGTTTACGACATACGCAAAAATACGTGTAACAAATACGTGCGGTTTTTAAGCAATTTTGCTTTTTTTTTTTAAAAACAAAATTTACCTTACATTTTAATTTGTTTTATTAAATGTGTGCATGTGTGTGTATGTATGAATTTGCCGAGAAAAATAATAAAAAAAGTGTGCCAAAATAATGATTAAAAAATAAAGAGAGAAAAAAACAAAAAGCGAAAAAAAAAACGTTTTTCATTTTCCACGCGACCGGTGTCATTTTTTTTTTCTTGTTTTCAATTATTTTTTATTTTATTTGTGGTTTTTTTGTATTTTTTTTTTAATTCATTTCAATTGGGTGATTAAAGATTTTTTAATTTTTTTTTTTGGTTCTTGTATTTTTGTTTTTTGATAAAATAAGGAAAAAAATTTTTAAAGGTTTTCCTTGTCAAAAATAATAATAGTAATATTAACAAAAGTGAAATCAAGTGTCATTTTAAATTGAGGACAATAAATCAATTAATTTATTCATGTAAAAAAAAATTATACAGTAAATTAAATAAATTTTGAATAAATAAAAGAATAATATTTTTTGCAAATAACGGTGAATAACAGTTAGATAAATAAAATGCATTTTTATGAATAACAGTGAGAATTTTTCAAAGTTAAAATTGCCGTAATTTTCAAAGGATATGTCGTATATTTTTATACAATTATTACTGTTATGAATTTTACTAATACAACATCATAGTTGCGGAATTAATAAGAATGTGCTTATTACACTACTAATTTATGTTAATGGAAATTTCTTCATGCAACTGCAGAACAGATGGATGACGTAATCAAAGGAACGAGTTAAAGGCAGAAAAATTCATTAAAAAAATTTTTCTCCTCGAACTGGACTCGAACCAGTGACCTACCGCTTTCTAGGCGGACGCTCTACCAAATTATTACTGTTTACTTATAAAGTTCAAAATTTTTGGAAAAAACAAATAATTTAGATTAAGAAATAATTTATATTTTTTAAAAAATAATAAATAATTACAAAATAAAACTTATAAATTATCAGAAATGAATTGTCTGTATAAGGAAATTCTCTTACTAAATATAATATTATAAAGAAGCGAATTCAACAATGGAAATTTGCTTCTCGCATTGAAACGGCATACGAAAAAAATTTCTTAAAATAATCCAAACCTTAATATGACCTCTTGTCTTTTAATATTATCAAAGCTATAAACATAAGCTCAAAATTTAGGATCGATTGCTTCTTTTAATACTTGCAGCGTAAGTCAAGAATTAAAAAATTATTACAAATATAAATGTCAGTACGCACCAATTTTTCGAGAAACATGTGAAGATTACATAAGAAAAGTAGAAGATTACTTTACCCTATCTAATAGAGAATAATGAAATTCAACTTTCATAACAGTCTAGGTTTTTTGTTAGAAAATTTTTGAACACCTTGTTAAATATAAATTCGCTAACAGATCACGCAATATTTCATATTTTTTCAAGTAGAAAAAACAACATCACTTTCATATATTTTATAAAACATTTTTTTTTTACAATTTTTTAATAAAATTTTTAATTTAATTTTTTTAATAAATCATTTTACATTTTAATTAACAATTTAATTTGAATTCAATCAATTAATGCGTAATTAAGATCATGATGCAATGCATAAATTTATTTTAAAATATACATTACGATACGAAACTGTTATACGATAACAAAATATTCACACACAAACAATTATTAATAAACAACAGTAATAATTTACTGATTTTTATGCGAAATCAATTTCAAATTTAGTTATGTTATGTTGTATTATGTATAGGGTGAATTTAATCAGCGCCATACAGATCTTTTGTGCATCCCCGCGCCAGTTCAATAGAACTCAAGATTTAGGCTCCCGATAAATTATAACAGACCTGTCACGCACAACAATTCATGAGAATTCAAGTCCAAGGCCCCGAAAAATCTGTATTTAGAGTGGGCCAAACCAACACACTCAAATAGAACATTAATGGAGTCCTCCGTGCCCCAGTCGCAAAATTTACACCACTGCGTATTTGATCTACCAATTTTTTGTAAATATGAGTTAAAGGCCCAATGCCAAATGGCAAACTACGATAGAAGCCTCAGCAAAGAGCGCCTTACAACGCCACAGCGTCTTTCCAGCCAGAAAGCCACGATCAGGTCAAGACACCTCCTAGAGTGGCCCGCACTCGGAATAGGTCCGATGAAGGACGCATTTGTCCCAGCTTTCACCAGGAAATCGGCCTTCTCATTTCAGCGAGTGACTTTGTTATTCACGCTCATATTAGTTAGTTAGATTATAAACATACTAACATTTATTAAAATATTTTTCTATATGAAATAATTTTTTATTCGTTCAATTAAAAGCTTAATCACATAATTTATTTAATTTATGAAAATCAAAGGCCCATGATAAGAATAAAAATAAAATGTACATAATAATTTATGTGATTTAGTCACAAAAACGAAATATTGGGAAGTACCCTAAAATGTGTGAATAATGAAAAATAATTAGTTGCAAATTATAGAAAAATAAATTTTCTTATTCTCAAAAATTGAATTTTTCACATTATACGTATGAATTACTTACTGTGCAATGAACTTTTTAAACCTTGTTATAATTCAAGTGAATAAGTGGATTTTGAAAAGTATAATTCAAAGTCTGGCACTCGCGATTATTTAGTTTGCTATAAAATTGAGTCATGTATATTTAGCATATTATGACTATAAAAAAGTTCAAATTTTCAGTATTCATTTAAATATTTTAATTATTTTAGTTATAAGTGTTAAGTGTTCAATATTAGTGTTATCATTTTGCTTTATATTTAAGGTTCATAGAGTGATGATAATTGCATCCACATCAATTCCTTAGACAGAACTTTATTAACACGCGCGTGCTCTATGGTAAATAGAGATATCTACAACAAATGGTGACAAATAAATCAAAATTAATTCCATGACCACATGATATAATAGACGTAATTTATGATTATATTAAGATTTTTTAAAGATACAAACTATCTAACTTCAGATAAAAAGCCTTTGATCGCAAAATCTCACAGTTTCGTAAACCAAATCCATTTATTTTCTTATATCACAAAATATTCTCCTTTTTTATTTATTCTTATATTTTGAACTCACAAAAATTTTAAGCATTGCTTTCTTGAACACAAACACATACACTTTATTTTATAAAATTTGGTCAGAACTAAATTCAAATATGGTATTTCTGTTTTATCTTTTATTCAATCATCAAAAAAACAACAAAAAATGTTTTTGGCTCCATTTTATATAAATATTTAAAATAAATTAAATTTTAAAATAATTTCCCAATAATTTCAACTGATTATTATTAAAAATTCAATTATAATCAATTTTAGTTTTTTTTTTTTGATTTTTGTGTTCAATGAATTGTCTACGTTTAACATTTAGGACATTAAAAATAATTGTACAAAGTGAAATCAAAAGAGATTGCCGCAGTATGAAAGCTCGATGCATTTCAAAATAATAGCCGGTAACTGACAGAAAATAAGATAACAATACCATGCTAGATAAATAAACAAAACAAAAAGACAGAAAAATTAAGAATTTTTCAAAATTTTAATTTTCAACAAAAATTTCTTTTTTTTTAATGTAATTGGGATCATATTTTTAAAATAATAAATGAAATATTGTAGAACATTGAACTTTTAATACGAATAAACACAAAATATGTATCTATAATCAAATCGGTGGGTACTCCCTAATATATACGATATATTGACACCGATAGGGGTTTAGGTGTATTGTAAAGAAATAAGAAACTGTGCTGTAAAGCACAGGGTACTTTTAAAATAGTATGGGAATATTGAAATCTCCCCGATTATAGGTAAAAGAGCGACAGGCTTAAACGAACGAGGACTCTCGATCCAACCTATGGTTAAACAGTTTGATTAGTTTTAGGAAATCATGACCCGATCAGATGCACGATCGATTTGGTTTGCATTACTTTAACCCCTACACAACACAACTTTGATATTTTTTGCTGGCACACTCCACTTATTCTCGTCCTCTACTATTACCTTCTAGGTACCCTTTGGCATTAACTGATAATTATACTGTTGCAGTGTCTCTTCGAAATCTTTCCACTTTGCTTTTTCTACATATTTATATTCTTTAAAAAAGTGTGTAAAATGATACCATCATCAATCAGGCGGGACTACTTTCATGACTTCGAAAACCACTATTGGCAAAATCGGCTCTTGATATTTGTCATTAATCTATTCAGTTATCACATCACTGCTTCGGCGTCTGTAGTTTGTGAAATCTTGTATTTAAATTGATTTTCAAGTATTTTACTAATAGTTTTGTTTGAATCGTCACCGTCCCAACTTAAAATAAAATGTTCATTAATTTTCGTTTAGTATCCTGATCAACAATTGATACTCCATAAAAAAAAATTTTTTTTCCCCTTTCTATTCCTCTAGGGAACATAGTGCTTCCACATATCCTCGCTAATTTTCTCTGCCTTGCGCCATCCTTTTTATTTCGGACACTTCTCCTCCTTTGGGAATTCCATTCTAGGACCTGGCGCGCCAGTGATGTTGTTGGCAGCCTCAGAATATGGCCAATCCATTTCCACTTTTTCCTTCTTATCTGGACCCAGATCGGTCTTTGCTTTCTCAGAATTCACAACTCCTCATTCATTATTCTTCTGCGCCAGAAAATGCGGCACATAATCCTAAGGCAGCTGTTTACGAACATTTGCAATTTTCTCATGTTGTTCTTCGAAACCACGCATCGAATATTCTGATTTTTGTACTCCTTGCTATTTGTGTAGACCACCACACCGGCCGCAGCCTTTCAAATACACTTCCGGCCTTTGATATTCTGCGTTCTATATCTCTACTCGTGCCCCGTATATATCAGTCGCCAGCACGCTACCCAAGTATTCAAATTCTGCTGCGCCCACAATCTGGGTATTTTGAAAGTACATTGGTACCTGGCTTGTAGAGTCTATTCTCAAGCATTTGGTCTTAGCGGGATTTATGCGTAGAGCCAAAGCTTCGGCCCTTTCTCTCAGCTCGTTGATGATTGTTTGCATTTCTTCTGTTGAGTGGCTCAATATGACT